CCTCCCCCATCTTGTCTGCCTTCCTCAGCTTGTTTCGCTTCTCTCCTCGGCTTCCTTGTTCCCTTGCCTCCTTCCTTCATCCCATTGTCCGCTTCCCGCTCGGGGCTGCTCGCCCCGTTCCGAGGCTGCTTCCTCGCCTCCTCCTCTTCCCCACCTCCGTTCCGTGGCCGCACGTTGCTGCCTTCATGGCTGCTGCAACCCCCTGGGTTTTGGGCTGCTTTAGAGCAGATTCTCACACTTCTGTTGACACTGGTGGAGGCAGGGGCCAGGGGGGCAGGCTGGCCTGTCGTTCTTCCAGGACCTGAGTCACACACCAGTGATGATCTCACACTCTGGCACGTGTTGGTCTGAAGGGTTCTCTCGGAGTCCTGCTAGGGACTCCATAGTAATTGTACTAATGTACAATCCCACCAGCTGTAAAGGCTTTCCTTTCCCTCTACATCCTCTCTTGCACTTATCATTATTTGTGTTCTTGAGGGCTGCCATTTTGACTGGTGTGAGACGAAATCTTAAAGAGTATGGTTTTGATTTGCATTTCCCTAATTGCTAATGATTTTGAACATTTTTTCATGTTTTATTGGCCATTTGTATTTCTTCTTTGATAAGTATCTGGTCAATTCATTTGCTCACTTACCAAATGGGTTATCTAATTATCTGGTGTCTTTTGAGTTTTTTATATATTCTGGATATTAATCCTCGGTCAGAAGAGTAGCTAGCAAAGATTTTCTCCCATTCTGTGGGTTCTCTCTTCACATTCCTAATTGTTTCCTTTGCTGCGCAGAAGCTTTTTAATTTGATGCTGTCCCATGGATTAACTCTTATAAGCCTTTAGTTTAAAGATTGTACCTTGTGGCTGTGGCGGGACAGCAGATGAGGAAAGTGGAGGTGACTGTTCCCTGTGTGGTCTCAGAGCTGGAGGAAGAAGGGTCCTAAGCTCATTAGACCTCAGCCAGGAGATGGAAACTAAAGTGTTGTATTCAGAGACAAGGGTAGGGGTTGATTTGTAGATGCCCTAGCTCAAGTGCCAGCGTGTGTCACTGACACATGGTGAAGGAAAGAGAGACCATGTTGTGAGCCTAAGGGCAGGGGATGGAGAATTTGTCCCCCATTTCAGGTTGCTCAACACTACTGTGAAGGTCCATTTCATTGCTTCCAGTTCTTTTAACAAGTCATCAAATTATACCAGCAAAAGTCGTGTTCTCCTGATCCCAAGACCCAGAGAACTACCCAGTGGGACTCTGGCGGGAAAGGAGCTGGTTTCCCTGTTCCTTGGTTCTTTCTTCCTCTCCGTCACAGGATGGTGGAGCCCATATGTTGTTGAAACTGAAAAATGTTAAACTCTCAAGAAGGTCAAGCTGGGAAATATGTCCTTGAGATGCCACCAAGGCTCTGTAGGAGAAGTGAATTTGCTCTCTCTGAGGGTTTGGGGATCTGCTCTGGTGAAGGGGAGGGGTGGCCTGGGGCAGTTTCCTATGGCAGTTCTGCCCGGGCTGCCCTCTGGCCTGTGGCTGCAGTAGCTCTTGCTGGAGCACACAGTGCCTTATTGCTCCCTGAGCAGCAGGACAGGCCATGCTGGCCAGGTCTCCCTGGAAGAAGCAGAAATAAATCAAACACAAGCTCCTACTTCACATCTGATGAAATTCTCCATTTCCGCTCCAAATTGAATTCCTCCCGAAGGATGTGAGCAGCTCAGGGAGTAATGAAGGCGCTCCTTCCTCCTCTGCTTGAAGCATGTTTTAGATTAAGGGAGGCAGCATTCTAATCTGGGTGGGGAGGTGGCGTTAAGGGGCAGTCTTGAGAACCTCTTCAGACCAGACATGATCTTCTTAGTCTCAAGGGGCAGGCAGCAGGCATGCAGTTGGCTCTGCAGAAAGCAGCCTCTGCCCGGCTGGTGGTCTCCTGGGGAAGAAGGGCTGCAGTGGCCTGCCTGCTGTGGCTGCCCACCACCCCTGCCTGCCCACCCGCCACCAGATGGTGGAGGAAGCGAGCAGGAGGTGTGCGCTCCCGAGATGCATGGCATCACTTTTCTATCCACTAGTGACTCAAGAGAAAAAAAGAAAGGAATATGTTTTAGGACGAAGATGTTATTGAAGGCATTATCTTTCATCCTCTGTAGTGGGACACAGTGGGGACACAGTTTGGCATTTGCAGAGGCAGTTGACACAGACTCTTTTCGGGGGAAGAGACCCCATTTCCCAGTGGGCCTTGTCAGAGTGAAGACTGATCACAGCAAGTTGATGGGACCCGGAGTCTGATGCTAAGGACACAGGCGGTGGGACAGGCCTGGAGTGAACTGCAAAGGTCAAGGTCAAGGTGGTACTAGAAACTCTATAAGTGTGTTCTGCGTTGAAGGTGGACTTGAGGTATTTTATTCATCAGTGAAGGAATAGGCAGTATTGCCCTTGAAGTGGGCTTAAGAGCATGGTTTCACTTTTCTTCAATTGCTGTTGAAGAAAAGCAGTTTTTTTGGGGAAAAAAAAAAGATAGTGGTTTTAAAAGTCTGCTTACCTTAAGAAATTCTGACAGGGTCAAAAAGGGAAGGAACTTCTCCTTGAAAGAATATTCAGTTGATCCTTTTATGTTGGAATTTTGTTCATACCCTTGAGAAAGGTTGTCAAAACTTCACTCTGTTTTTATTTTAATTTTAAGAAAGAAGCCATCTCCTTCGGAGGGAAATAGCCCCAGAAGACGCAGTAGGTAAAATCCAACCTTAGAGGACAAACTAGGCTGCTGGAGGCAGGAGAGTCAGGGTCCCAACAAGAAAATTGCCTTTTAGGGAGAGGCTATGTTTCCACTGATAACAGGGTCATTTATATCAAGTCTAGGGCCCATCTGGGAGGATGTTTAAACTTCAGTCTCCTCAGAAGACAGTAGAAAATACATTTGTCCCAGACTGGAAGAAAGGATGATGGTGGAAGTGGGAATTCATGTCTAATTCAGTAATGTCAGGATCTGCCCCAAGGCGCCCAGGCCTGGGTGGTGCCTCCAGTGTGCGGAAGGGTGGGGGAGGAAGTCTGGTGGAGACTCAGGACTGTGCGAGGGGAAAAAATGCAAGGGCAGGAAGGTGAAATGCCACCCCCAGCTGCTTTCCTGCATTCCTTCAGGCCCTAACAGACGGTTATTTGCCGAAGTGGGCCTTAGCTGGGCTTCCCCTGGGACAAGGCAGCAGGCAGTCCCTCTAGACAGCAGAGGCCTTTTCTTCCTGAATGGTTTTGTTGGTGTTTCAGTCATCATGTAGAACCTTCCTGGCCTGAGTGGATGGTCAGCTGTCAGGTCTCTGAACCAACATGCCCATTCCCTGGCTGGGAGACCCTTCCCAAGCCTTCCCAAGTACACTCATCTCTGAGCCTGTGTTATAAGGCCTCAAGTTGCTTCTGTTTTGTTTTAGCCAAAAGGGTGAAATGCTGCCAGCAGTATGTCTGGAATGTTATTTACTTGGTACATTTCTGTGGCTTTTCTTGTAGCATTGCACATGCCAGAGCCTGGGGTCATTTACTTGAAAATGCCAGGTTGCACAGTCTGTCTTCTCAACAGGGTAACTTTCTCAGTAAGGGGAAGCCAGCTTCTGTGCCTCTCAGTTCCTCCCTCCGCCTCCCTCCCTCCCTTCTTTCCTTTCTTCTTTCCCTCCTTTCCTCCCTCTTTTCTTCTCCCTTCACATCTTATATATACATGTGTACACACACACACACACACACACCCCACACACACGTTTTTCTGAGTTAGTGGTCTGACTGTGGAATCGCACCCCTTTGTCCTCAGTGCCTCCACTCTAAGTTGGGTTTCTGGTGACTCCAGAGAGCTCAGCAGAGGCCCTTGCATTTGTGTGCCTTGTCTGTTACTACTGCACGTGAACGTTGTCAGCTTTGGCAGACTGAGTCCTGCAATTGCCCTGAGCCTGCTGGGCTGAATGGGTGATGTTGTGCAAGAGAGATCTGGGTGGGGTCTCTCCAGCGGTGGCCGTGGGGGCGGATGAGAAATCAGCAAGGAGTCTTGGCTTGCTCAGAGCTGACATGATGGCAAACAAATGGCTTTTGAAAGAAAGAACCAGTGTGTGCAGTTTCTTAATTTTAAAGGTTTCACAACTGGGTTTGTTCAATTGATGAAGAAGAGATTTTCAAGAAGGAATTCTTTATTAGGAAGACTGTAAACAATTCCGAGATGAAGGATAATGCTGGGTAGAAGCCCAGGAGGAGGAGTTCTGTTTGCCGCTTCTTTCCGCAGCCCCCTTCCTCCCCTTCATTCATCTATGCAATTTTAATCATGGTATTTGGGGTTTTAAAACAAGGTATGGAAAATGAGATTAGATAAATCTCCCCATCTGGTGCCAGCCCTGGGGCCGTTTGCACACCTGGGTGGGTTAACTCCCTACCTCCCCCATTTTTTCCTTAGGTCATGTGAGTCTGTTAGTGCCTACAGATTCCACTGAAAATCTTTGTTTTCCAAAGGCTCAGACCTTATCTGGGTCTCTAGGAAACCTCCCACACCCAGGGCACCTGTTGGATTGTTAACTTCCACCAGGCCCAGTGAGCAATGGAAAATTTGGGGTCCCATTCTGTTTTGCCTTTTCCTGTCCTTCTGCATGACTTCCCGATTTGCCTGTGAGCTGCTGGGATTGGGCTGCAGGGTCTCCTTTGATCACTCTCCTGACAGCAGGGCTTCACATTCCCACACCTGCTCTTCTTTTACAGTCCAGATTTCAGAGTAAACGCTTCCATTGCCTTGTAATTTTTTCAGTATAAAACTTTGGTGCAGGTTACTTATTACAGGTAATAGCCGCTTGATGACGGAGACAACTGCTGGCAGAAACGGCAACCTGAACTGCTGCCAGAAACGTAAACTGCCACTTTATTTAGGTCTGAAAGTGTCTCGCTCCAGTCGAGCAGTCATGATCTAGCATGCACACCATAATAACAGGCTCGCCTCGCCGGGCTAGAAAGCCACCCCGTGGGGTGGCCCTGAGGACAGGCTCTAACAAGACTGCACGTGTTTTCTTTCCACAGCCCACACATCATCTTCCTCTCTCAGAGCACCCTGACAGGCATGAACCACCTCTGTGGAACGCGTCTCTGCCATGAAATTGCTCATGCCTGGTTTGGCCTTGCCATCGGGGCCCGGGACTGGACAGAGGAGTGGCTCAGCGAAGGCTTCGCCACTCACTTGGAAGATGTGTTCTGGACCAAAGCGCAGCAGGTGGGCTTAAAGTGACCCTAAGTATTTCCCTGCCCAGGGTCGAGTTCCACGTGCAGTCATTTACTTGTTCAGTGGGTACATACTGAGTACATGGGGCATTGTTTTTGCTGGGAAGATGTCCGTGTATATCAAAGAGGCAAGACCCTGCTCCCCCTGGGTCCCGAGATGAAAAACAGAACAGACAAACAAATGAAGTGGCAGCATGCTGGTGGTGAGAGGACTATGGGAAAGACCGGCCCCATAGAGAGTGGGGGCAGGGGTGCTCTCTCAAAGGTGGTCAGAGAAGGCTTCTGGTGAGGAGATGCTTGGGCCGAGATGTGCAGGAAAGGTCATGTGAGCATTCCTTTGTGATTATGGTGACACTGACCGAGTGTTTCAAAGAATCAGCTTAAGATGTAAATCAGAAGTCATAATCTCAGATGTCTGCTGGCAAATGATAAAGGAAGAACAGAGCAGCTGGTGCTGTAGATTAGGGAGCGCTGAGGACTATGGCAGATTCGTAACTCCTACCAGCTCCAGCCAACCGGATGTTGAGGGAGGGGCTTGATACAGCCTAGACTTGTAGTTTTTTAAGGAAATCCATAAACCTGAATTTTTATGTGAAGTTTACTAATTTTAAAAATATTATACGAATCAGGAGATGGAGATGTGTAACTCAGTGGGAGAGCATATGCTTAGCATATGTAAGGCCTTGGGTTCAATCCTCAATGCCAAAAGCAAAAAAAATATGTATGCAAATCAGGCATACCTAGTGACCAGAGCTGGTAGACATGCATCCACTGCAACCTCCACTTTAAAGAATTGGCCATCAGTTCTGGTGAGGATATGACAGCTGACCTGCTTCCTGAATACTTCTCAGTTTCTAATGTTTGGGTCCCTTACACATTGGACTATGTGGCATTTTCTAAATCCCAAGTGTGTGCTTACCTGTATGATTTTGTTCAAGGTAGTTCTGCCCACTGACATCTCTTTGTATTTCACTAACCAACTTGAGGCTCGTTCTTGGGATGGCCTATGTCCACCCACAATTCTCAGCACTGCCTGTACTAGTCAGCTTTTCTTGCTATGACCAAAATACCCCACAGAAAACAGTGGAGGGAAAGTGTATTTTCGCTCGGTTTCAGAGGTCCAGTTCATGGTGGGCCGACTCCATTGCTTTGCACCAGAAACAAGGCAGCACCTCATGGCAGAAGGGCACAGCAGAGGAGAGCTGCTCCTCAATGAAGCAGAGAGAGAGACAGAAAGTGAGGAAAGGCTGCTGGGAAGAAGCCCCCTTCCAGGGCACGCCCAACTCCTCAGACCCATCCCGCCTGCCTACAGTTACCATGATGAGTCCACTCAGACTGGGGTGGGCTGATGAGATTGCAGCTCTCTCGATCTAGTCATTCCACCTTAAATGTCCTTCTATTGATGAGAGCCTTTGGGGACACTTCACATCCAACCACAACACTGCTCTCCTATTAACTCTGAACTCCCGTGGTGCTTTGCTCTTTATTCTCTTTCTCATTTTTTCCTTCTTCCTTCTACTGTGTGATTTTCTCATCCTCACAGCTTGGACTACACTCTTCCGCAGTGAACCTGCATCTCACGTGTCCTATCCTCTTTGACCACGGTTGTAGAGCTAGTAGAGTACACGCATGTAGAGGCCACCTGCTAGATGGGGGGGATGGGGCAGGTTCTGAGATAGACCAGGCTTTGTGTCCCAGCTTGGCTGTTCACTAGCTTTCTGAGTATAAGCATAAGTGTAGCCCTGGTGAGCCTCAGTTTCCCCATTTGTAGAATGGACGGGAGGAGGCATACCCTCACAGAGTGAGTGGGGTATGTGTGAATGAGCTTAGCAGTATCAGACACATGCAAGAAGTGTGCGTTCTCTTCCTCTGATTTCCCACCACCAAGGGTTTGATATAAACACACTGGCATGATCTCTTTCTTCCCTGGGGGCTTCCAGTCTAGGCAGTCAGATTGGTGCTTTGGCAGCTGTGTGCTTCAGGTCTCTGATGGTGGTGCCTCTGTCATTTACCACCTGCACTTCAGGTGGTCCCTCCTTTGTCTCCTTGCTTGTTCCTGCATGTAACTACCCTGAGTATGTCCCTGCCCCTGACAGAAGCGGGCTGGGCTGCGTCTCACAGACACCTTCTGTGCCCACCCTGTGCTCCAACCGTGGGTGTAGAAGAGTGAGGATAAGGCCCCACAAACCTTGTGCATGCTCTCCTGCCCACTGAGACCTGCTCCCTGATGATTCCTGTCCTCCCCAAGGAGAGCTCAGGTACCTCCTCCTCCACAGGAAGCCTCTGCCTCCCCCCTGGTTGGCAAGGGGCACCTGGGTTTTTCCTTACCTCAATGCCACCTGTTGGTGTCCTATCCAGACTCCTCATGGTAGAGGCTCTATCCACAGTGTCTCTGGGCCCTATAGGAGACTCAGTAAAATATGTATTGAATAAGTTTTTAGGGAACTTTGATTTCTAGAGAGGACTGTAGATCCTGCACATTCTCCCTCCGTGGTGGGGATCATTTGGCCCGCCTCAGAAAGATTAGGGCCATGTGGCCTCAAGAGCACTTTCACGTGACAGCAGCCAATTCTGACCCAGTGGGCAGAGTGTGAAGGCCTCCCCCTTCCACTGAGTCTAAGCAGTGTACTTTTTTTCTGTTTATGTGCAAACGGTCATCTGGGTTCCATTAGCGGACACCACTGTAAACAGTCCTGGACGAAACTGAGGACTGAGAAGAGTTGGAGGTGAATAGACACCCACAGCCCCCCACCCTCCTGTGCAGAAAGACAAGCAGGAAAGTGGGCTGGATGGGATCATAGTGGAAACGCTCCTACGGAAGCCCCCTCTCTCCAGGCCAGGCGTGTGTCCAGGGAGTGGAAGGCTCCAGGCCCAGGGGCCCTCCTGAGCTGGCTCTGCCTGCCAGCATGGTGGAGCGTGCAGCTGGGTCTTCCCTTGAGGAGCCAAGAGGTTCCTTGGGTGCTGGCTTTTCCGAATGGGAACAAGGTGAAAGCAGGGGGCAGGCCCTGTCATCCCCATGGAAAGAAAGCAAGTCATTCCAGGGGTCGGGTCTGACCAGCACAGTGACTCTTGTGCATGTGTCTGTGTCTGGCCAAGCAGCTGTCACCCCACGAGGCCCAGGAGCAACAGGAGCTGAGAGCCTGCCTGCGCTGGCGTCGCCTCCAGGACGAGCTGCGGAACTCCCCGGAGGAGATGCAGGTGTTGAGGTAAAGCACCAGGAGCCTGAGCCTGTCCTCTCTCCCCTCCCCGCCGTTCCTTCCAGGCTCTTCCAGGCCATCTGATGAAATCTACCCTGTTTCCCTTTTAAACCAAACCAGGCTGGGTTGTTCACCCCCCCAGGGATGAGCATGTTGTGTGTTAAGTCTTTCAGGGTGTGGGTTTCAGTCTGCCTTTTGACATTTTCCTGGTATCTTTATTCAGGAAAAAACTAGCATGAGGCCATTTCCGGGACCAAATTCTCTGTTTGAAGTTCTAATAGTCACTTTATGTGGTGGCTGCAGACATGGAGAAGGTTGGGGTTTGGCGGCCTGGCAGACAGTAACCCTTTAAAGCCAAAGGAAAAAAAATCTTTAGGAAAATATTGATTCCTAAGTGTTTAGTAGGAACAGATGTGCGAGTCAATGGGGCTTTTTGTTTCAGATGTAGCCCAGCAGGAAGCCTGTGCCCTCTCTCTGGGGCACTAGGAGGAGGCCACTCCCAGCTCCTGAGTTTTGTTTTTAGAGTGTGGCTATGGCACTTGTAGGATTAATTCTTGCCATTTTTCCATTTTTGCCCCTTTCTGTTTTGCTCCTTTTCTGTAGTCCTCTAAATAGTTGTTTACCTGAAGCCCTGTGACCAGGCCCCTCCCCAGGAGTGCTAGGTTGCTATGGCAACAGTAGCTTCCCAGGGCCCCATCTTGACTAGAGTCCAGTGTTTGAGTCTGTGGAGTCTGCAGTCACACTTGTGGGAAGGATGGCCTTCCAGGTGTCCTTGTTCCTTGTCCATTTTAGATGGCCTCCCTGAAGGCCAGCCTCCCCCCTGTGCATAGGCAGCCGTGGATGGTGCTGCTGTTGTGTTTTTAAATTGCCACCCCAGCCCCTCCTGAGTGTAGCTGAGATGCCCCAGGAGGCAGAAGCCTGATGGAAACTCCCTAAACTGGCGGGACCCCAGGGAACAAGGCTGGCCGGCTTTTGTGCAGGACCGCGCCCTTCCCACGGTGGAGTTCCGTGTGTTTGCACGCTACTCATGGCCTCCCAAGCTGACTCGTCCATTGTTTAGGAGAGACAGCTGGGCAGTGGTGGGCACATGGCTGGGAGCTAGGATACCCATGATGCATCTGCTCCTTCAGCCAGTTTTTCATGAGCTGGCAGGATGGCTGTCCCCATGCCAGGGCAGACCTGGTCCCTGCTCTCGTGGAGTGTCTACTTAGCAGGCATGCAGCACGGCTGAGCTGCTCATAGGCCGTGAGCAGTAAGGGAAAGGATGGTGCTATGGTTCTGAACTCACTGCAGAGCTTCAAGAATGAGTGGCCGTGTGCCCAGCTCCACAGAGGAAGGTACTCAGGCCTTGAGGCAGCAAATCTTGGGAGTGCTCTGGATAGCAAGGAGGACCGGGCTATGAGAGGCAGGAGTCATGGCACAAGACCTTATCCCAAGTTCTGTAGAACTGCTGTGGGGTCTTCCTCAGGGAAGGAGAGGATCTGCAGGGGTCCTTCCTTTGCTGTTCTGTGTGGTGGTGCAGGATGGGCCTCAGGTAGCAGACAAAGACCGGGAGGGGTGCAATGGCAGGAGAACTGACAGGGCAGGGTGTGTGGTGGCAGGAGAACTGGCAGGTCTTTGTTCAGTTGAACGTGGAGAAGAGGGCAGGGAGGGGGTCCAGAATGACTTCGGTTCTCAAGTTGGCAGATGGGTGGATGGTGATGGCATTTATTGAGATGGCAAAATCTTTGGGAGGAACAAGCTTTGGAGGGAACAAGAAAAGATTTTGGTTTTGCCTGTGCTTTGAGATTTCAGATAGGTGTTCAACATCAAGAACTCAGTGGGCGTGCAAGGCAGGCACTCGTTGGTGAGATGGAACATTCAGCCACAAAACACTTAAAATTCTGAGCATGTAGAGACCGTGAGGCAGAGAAGAAAGCAGGAGAAGAGGTGGTGAGGAAGGTGAGCTAGGGGATCCTGGGGACACAGTATGTGCAGGAAACAAGGGCACCGGGGTCGTGGAGGAAAGCGAAGCCAGCGAGCATGGCCGGCGTTGGGTGCTGCTGAGGGTGTGGAAGGAAAGAGAGAAGAGACCCTTGTCAGCACCGAAGGAAAAGCATTCGTGACCTTGACATCGCATGTGCTTATTTGTGAGTGGTGGAGAGGAAGCCAGACTGAGGCGGACAGAGAGCGAATGAAGAGTCGGGAAGTGGAGCCAGTGAGTGTCACTTGGTGAGGGATGGAGGTTGTGCTGGCTGGCGAGGGAAGCCACATTGGGAAGGGGGTAGAGGGAGGCGAGGGGGGGGTGGACGATGGACCCAGGTGAGTGCTAAAGTGTGAGCCCTGTGACTACAGATCTTCTCCTTTCAGATGCAGTTTCCCCAATTAAGAGATCATTCCCCTCTCTGTGTCTCAGCCCCTGCGATGCCTCTGTTCTGTGTGACCTTAGTTCTTTGACTGGGAGCAGCATAACGAATATTAGAGGAATGTGCTTCCAAGTCATAAGCAAGGTGGGCAGCCCCTTGGAAAGTCGGTCACAGGCAAGGAAATCTTATCTCTGGCTTCCGTGGGGCTGGGGTGGGCCCAGCTTCGGGTGGCTGTGTTCTTTGCCTTTGTGTGTGGAGTTGGGCAGAAGAATACAGTATTTTTAGACCTTTGTACTAGAAAACTTATCATGACGCTTATTTTCCTTTGTCTTAATATTCAGAAATTGCGTTTGCCTAAACACAGGCTAACGATGAAACAATTGGATCTGAAGGGTTTTGTGAACATCAGCAGGGAAAATATTCTTATCAGATGTGTTTATACAAGGAGGAAATGATCCCAAACCTGCCCCAAATTGCACAGTCTAGATTTAGCTTACACCCATCCCCAGGAATTCTCCCTTAAATGGGCACAGAAAACCTAGAAATTATTGAAAGTAAAAGAGCCAGGAGTGGTGGTGCATGCCTGTAATCCCAGCAATTTGGGAGGCTGAGACAGGAGGATTGCAAATTTGAGAAAGCCCCAGCATCTTAGAGAAACATTGTCTCAAAATAAAAAGAAAAAGATCTGGGGGGTAGCTCAGTGGTAGAGCACCCTGAATTCAACCCTTAGTAAAAAAGGAAAAAAAGAAAAGGGAGAACTAGAATCCTAGAAATCCATCCTTAGATTTTATTTTAATATGCAAATGAACCTGACAAAGACATTCTTTAAAATAGTCCAGTGGTGGAAGATACTTCTTCCTCCCTCCCTCCCTCTTTCCTTTCTTCTTCATGTCAAGATGCACCGTGGTCTTGAAGTGATGGACCAAGAACTGTGTGAGGTCTTGGTGTTGTCCCCTCAGACTGCTCTGCCCTGACAGCTGCCCTGAAGGCTTCTCTATGGTCCGACTTCAACATGGCTGGCCACGTCTTTCTTCCAAGAACGCTTTCTTCTCTCTGCTCCTGCGTGTCCCAGCTTCGATTGCCTACACTCTACTGACCCGTCCTGTCCCACCTGCTTTGCTGGCAGTTGGATATCATCATTCACATGACTTTAGACTCAAGAAGACTGAATACTGCATCCAGCATTGCACATGTGGTAAGAGCGGAGCAGGCAGTTAAGCATGGGACCGGAACTCGCCTCTTTCCCTGTCCTACATCCTGCCTTCGAAGAGCTCAGCATGGCATTTATGTGCCAGGTGTCTTGAACTCTGGAAGAACATACAGGTCAGAGTGACATGTGCATCTTTGTCTTTTAACACTTGAAATCTTTCAAAAAATTTCAAAAGATATTTCAAAAGTTAAAAGAAAACCGTTTTCCATTTGTACCTCTCATACATCCAGTGTGGAGTCCGGGCCTCCCCAGACGTGTCTTAGAGTGGCTCCTTGCCATCTCAGCCTCCTGGGATTGCTCAGAGCCGCAGGATGCTGCAGGTCACATTAATGGCTCCTGCCTTTTCTCATTTGTTAATTATTAAAGACGCCTTTCCACACAGGAGCCCGCAGTGGCTCCCTCCAGACCCCCCTCCCTCCCTCTCCACCAGCCCTGGCAGGAGGCCCCTGGGAGGAGTCTGACTCTGTGGTGCTTCCTGCCAGGCCAGTGCTGCTGGGCTGTCTCCTCCTGTGGCTCCTCGACTGCGGGCTCCTTCCTTGACCAGTGCAGCAGTGTGGCTCTTGCCAGAGGAGGTGCCGGGGGCTTCTCAGGGCCTCCGTCTCTGGTCTCTAGGGTACAGCTGAATTCTAGCAGCTTCTCTCGGGCTTTCAGTTAGCATTTCTGACAGGCTCCTGGGAGGGAAGAGCTACAAGGGCAGGGTCAGGAAAAATCTCTGTTGGTTTTTATTGTTTGTGATTTATTATTGCTTCCCCCTTTTTCTGGATTCATTGTTAAAGTCAAGCTCACACTGAGAAAAAGGTTAAAATAGATCACATTAAGGAGGCGCTGACAGGCAGGAGTCGGATGTAGCTCTCTACTGTCTCCATGGCTGATGCTGCCAGGTAATGCACACATCTTCCCCTGCTCCTCGAGAGTACCCCGCCTGTGGCCACAGCCACGTCCACGTCTTTCCCTGGTTCCACCCTTTCCACCTCCACGACCAGCATCTCCGTTCAGCGCTCTTCCGCCTTGCCGGCACCGGTCCTAGTCTAGCTAAAACGAACTTTGAGTTTTCCTCTTCTCACTTTGCTACTAATTCTGTATCTATAACCAATAGAATGCAGAGTTTTTCTGCCTCTAGTTTTGCCCTACCTCGTTGCCACCAGAGACTCTTCACAACACCTCAGGACTCTGGCACCTCCTTCCCTCAGACTCTCTGAAAGCATCCCCACATGACCTCAGTTCTGTTTCCCCGCCTCACCTTTGGGCATTCTTTGCTTTCCCCTCCACCTGCCCAGGGAGCCCTCAGAACCTTCTGGGTTTGTGCATGCTGCTGTGGCGGGATGCTGAAGACCCCATGGTTTAAACAGCAGAGTTGTTTCCTTGCCCTTCTGCAGCTCCAGGGTCAAGGCTTGGCCTGGGAGGTTTGTGTGAGGCCTTCCCCTGGCCCGCAGGGCCTCCTCCTGCCGTGTGCT